AACCCACCACAGCCAGCCCAAGCCAGTGATAGTGACAGAGGTAGAGACAGTGATGATGACTTTGAGGGATTTGTCAGGGAGGCACTAGTAAGTGTGGATGACAGTGATGAAGACTCACCTGAGGGCCAGTAGCCTGCCTCTGCCTCGGAACCAGCCTCCATTCCCCTACGCCGACCCATCTCTTCTACTAACGTAAGTGTTAACCCCAACCTTGTTTTTTCTAACCTAACCTTCAGTTTATTATTCTCTTATTGATTGTTTCCTTCTATATTATGTGTGTGTGAATACCATCATAAAGTTAAGATGTTATTTTTACTAAAACATACGTATTGTGTCGGGAAAAAGTGGAGTTTGGGGGTCGGGCCGGTCTCTATTTCAATTAATCCCATATGTTATGTTGTTCACTTTACACGTTTCTCACTTTACGTGGGCCACCGTGGGTTCAATTGACCGCGTAAAGTGAGGGTTCACTGTATATAAAGTGGACCACCCTATTGAGTATACAGTGAACCCTCTAAGATCAGGACTAAAAGGGGGGACCACCTGTCCAAAAAAGCCATTTGTCCGAATCTTCCGGCTAATATACTGTATGTATAAAAGTGATAAATAATGATATAAAAAAACACCAAAAATACAGTACATATTATCCTGACCACTGGGGTTAGTTATACAGACGTTTCCTGTGAAAAAGCCATAATTTTGAGCAGCATATTACTGTACTCACTTTGTACTCAAATGTACTACACCACTGGTTCTCAACCTTGTTTGCCCCATGCACCCCTTTCACCATATGTCAGAATGTCATTCCCTCCTCCTTTCCAAGATTGTCTGCCTCAAAAAGTGCATTCCAAATAATATGCATATAATACTGAAAATCCATTATTTTTTCCATATTAGTACATATACATTTACAATTTTACATGGATTATTTTTATAGTGGAGTTTTACAAATTAAATGCCAATTGAAAATGTTGATGGATTTATAAAACTTGAATAAATGTAAAAAAATTTTTTTTTTATTTATAATGAATTACTTAACAGACCAAACTGAAGCATAATGCAATAAACAAAAAGTTCAATAGAATACCAGGATATTGTAAATTTGTAATTAATTTTATTCAGATGAAGATTACAGTCAATGAGAAACCTGTGATTGTTTTTTCTTCGCCAATTCTGGGATACGCGGAGGAGTGCTTGAAAGGGCACAACGCAGGTCATTTTCTACCTCTAATCTACTACGTTGCTTCGCTTTAATTTGCAACAGAGTTGAAAAGCCTGACTCACAAAGATATGTCGACACAAACGGAAGCAATGCACGGATAGCTCTTTCTGCCACTTTTGGGTAGGAATCGTACATCAAGGGCCAAAATTCTGTGATTGATTTCTCATCGAACATATCTCTTGCTCCCGAATCAGTTTTCCCCCCCCTGAAAACCTGAATTCCCCCCCTGGGGGGAATTCCCCCCTGGTTGAGAACCCCTGTACTACACTAAAGGACTAAAATTTTAATCTCTTGTGCAAATTATGTGATGTTTATACTCAAATTATTCACTATCTTACAAGGATTCCAACAATGTAAGTTATATTCTGCTAGGTTTAGTCTGTGACATTTTATACGATAAAAACTTTAAGCCTAAAACTACCTTCATCCTGTTTTGGGAATGCTCCTTAGGGAGGCTTCTTAGCCTAGAACCCCCAAAATTTTTGTCCAAATCTCCCAAAATACGGATCTTCGAGGGTTTACTGTACCTGTATATGTTTTTTAATATTGTGAATCCTCCGAGGGTTCAGATCACATATTACATGACTTGGAGTTGATGTTGTAAATGGACACAACGCCAGGCCAGTCATCAACGGGATTTTACATCGAATGGAGCGAGAAATTACTGGGGAGACATCGCAAAATGTAAGAGGTGCTATCATTGCCTGTCATAACGAGGGTAAACATAACGCTGAGATGGAACAGCGAACTTGGGTGAACGAATCCACAGTATCATGATGGGATAGGTGCCATAAAACAACTGGTGCCATGCTGAAACTTACAACCACAAATGTCTTACTATAGGTGGACGGGAAGTTCTGTTCCTACAAATCCCTTAACTTAAAACCTTTTTTCGGTGTTAAACCAATGCAATTTATATATCATCAACATTTACTAAGACGACCCATTAATCCGCCGATACTCAAAATTCAATGCCGTGGTTGGTGAAAGAGCATATAGAGTAAAAACAGTGGATATCTGGAATTCCAGTGCCAAGAGAGATGTGCAATGAGCTTGCTGAGCCCCTTATGATCCTGTTCTGCAAATGCCTGGATGAGCAAAAGGTTCCCAATGACTTCTGGAAAATGGCTATGTGAGTCCTATATTCAAGAAGGGTGATCGTCACTCTATAAGGAGGCTATTTAATAAATATTAGTGAAGTAAGAATTTATAGTAGGGGGATGTAAAGTGAGGACTGGAGGATACACTTCTCACCGTAAGTAATTCGCCCTATGGATCACTCTGACAATGACTCATGTGTGACCTGAGGAAGGCCCAGCAGGTGCTGCTTAAGAGTGCTGGACTATGTCTCCAGTGGGAGACTTTGCTAGCTGGGGACCCGGTGCTGGGGAGGGAAGTCTCCTCCCAACCTCGCCTTGTGACGAGTGTGACTTCTGTCCTCTTCTGCGTTCTGTCTCTGGGAAGGAGCTGTTGGCCCCCTCCCTGTTCTAGTAGTAATGCGAATGCTAATGCCCCGTGGAAGGAGCTGCAGGCTCTTATATTGGCCGTCACGAGCTGGAAGATCTCATCACTAATCTGGGTGTCTGGTCAGGTGACAGGTGTACTGGCTGGAGGGTAGCTTCTAGAGTAACACGGTCATGTTGCCGGGTTAAGCTAATCACGTGGCAGTGAGAATTCTGGCTCATTGTGTCCGTGACCCCTCTTGGGTCAGGTCTGGACAGCTGTGTTTGCACAGATGCTTGGTCATGTCGCCAAATGGGAATGCTTCCTAACTATTACCACCCGGGTGTGTCCAGCCAGGTGTAGTTTCTTGAATAACACGGTCATAATGCTGGGTTAACTCAGGTAACTTATGGCCGTCAGCTCTCCTGGGTCATGTCTTAGTCTCACTGTAGGGTGTGTCAACCTATGTGGGCATCTACTTACTGTTATATGTGCTGTTCTTTCTGGGCTGTAAGCTATGGTCTGATAAACAATCATTACAACTCCATGAATAATTATAGACCAGTGGGTCTGACCAGCAAGGTGTGTAAAGTACTTAATAGCATGATAAGAGATACTACGATGGCACATCTGCTACGAAACAACCTTGTAAATGACTAACAACACGGTACTCAAGGTACTAGATATTTGGACTCAAATTCTGGAACAGGGTGGTAATATCAACACTACATACCTACATTTTACCAAGACTTTCTACATTGTACCCCATGAAAGGTTGAGAATTAAACTGGAAGGGAACTGTATTCAGGAAAGAGTCCGAGTGTGGATCGAAGACTTTCTTCATGATCGCAAGCGGTGTGTGGTGATTAATGGCATGAAAGCGTCATGTGTACCCATGACAAGCAGGGTACCACAGGGCAGTGTACTGGGCCTGTTGTTGTTTGTTTGTTTGTTTCAAATGACATGCCAGAAGTTATACACTCCTCTATACAAATGTTTGAGGACGATGCCAAGTTATTAAGGGAAATTAAGAACGAAACGGACTGTGAAGAGCTCCAGAAAGATCTCTGTCAGCTTAAAGAGTGGTCGAAGAAATGGCTGGTAAGATTCAATGTCATGAAGTGTAAGAGGATGCACCTACAGTAGGTCATAACAACAGTAAGGAGGCATATCACATGTCCCAACGGGATGAAGAAACTGCATTAATAGAGACCGAATGTGAAAAGGACCTGGGTATGAATGTTGACAATGAACTGAAATTCTTGGGCCATTGTGAGAAAGTGAATCAAGCAACAAAACAGTAGATTGTTCAGATATCTAAATGGTCCGTCCTTCATAATGATCTTCAAGAGTGAGGTGCTTCCTCACCTGGAGTACAGTACTGTCACCCTGTCTGGTCTCTGAGATATGGTAGAGATTGTCAGCTGATTGAAAATGTACAAAGGAGGGCCACCAGACTGGTACCTGCACTTCGGCACCTCAGTTATCCAGAGAGATTAGAATGCCTGTAACTGCAAAGCTTATATTACAGACAGGCAAGGGATGACCTAATTAAACTGCATCAACATCTCAGAGGGTACTACTCAGTCGAGAGTCTGTATCTGAAGCTAACGGACGCCCACCCCACAAAGGGTCACATCTCCAGGTTGAGGACGCCACAAGTCCAGAAAACTGTGATGGCAAACTTTTTGGGAGTGAGAATTGTGAACTCTTGGAACAATCTGCCAGAGAGTGTGGTGACGGCACTGTGTGTGAGCTCTTTCAAGACCAGACTTGACCAACACTGGAGCAGGTTCAGGTACATTCAGGAGCCAGTGCATGCCCAGTACTTCCCAAGTGGCTAATGAGCCGATCAGTGGAGAAAAGGATAAAGAAAAAAATTGTTAAATTACAGTAGAGGTGTTTTGGTTGTTTAAAGTACAGGGGTATTACAGAAAAAGTAAAATAAATAAAAATAATGAAATAGATATACAAGTGAATTTTAGGAAAAGCGTATGTACAGTAGCTAAAAGAAGTATCTGACAGGGTAGTCCAATAACTTCCGAAATTATACATACAACTCATGGTGTCTTTGGAGGGTTGGTATGCTATCTTCACCCACCGCCATTCAGTATCCAACTCGGGGGGTGAGTTGACATTTAGGAATAAAATAAACGGTTAAGTGATTACTATCATATAGTATAAGGAGACAACACGCATATCCCAATACTTATCATCCATGGTCTCATTTCGTTTCACACACAGTATACACAGATACTTTTTTTAGCTACTGTACATCCTTGGGCAAGACCTTAACACTAAAAATAATCATTTATTAACTTATGGAACTACTCACCAAAGCAGTCTTCTGCAAGACTCATATTTCTTCTCATGTCATAGCCCCAATAGCCAGGCTGAAAATAAAAAAAATAAACAATACACAGTATATAAACCATCACAATAATTTTCACTCTATCAATCCTTTTCCCATTAGAATGCAAGGTGGTTGGAATCAATAGAAAATAAACAGTTTCCATGTAATGTTATTTCTTTTTTAATGCTAATTTTAATTGGCAAAACAGATTTAAAAAGGAAAGAATCCACTGTCATGTGTAGAATAGAATACAGTAAAACCCCGCTTTACGCGGGTTTTTTTTACGCGTTTCTCCATTTAAACGGTACCCCGCCAGAACCGGAATGTTCACTTTACGCGGTGAATCTACTCTTTTACGCGGAGAGCGGCTGGCGGTCATCTCGCGCCGCGCCATTTTTGGATTCAAACCCCCCGCCATCCCGCCATGTTGGGCAAGCAGCGCGAGTAGGTTGCGCAGAGTATGTCTTTGTTGCGTTATCGGTGACGTCATATGGCGTATCGGACTGTGATTGGGCCAAGCATCCTTACCTCCCTCCCCGCTAGCTGTGATTGGTTTAATGTAATATGACGTGCCCCGCCGAGGGAGCGATGAAGCCCGTTGACCTACCGGCCGAAGACCCTCCGGCTACACGTGTATATGGATATCCATTGTTCCATAAGAATGGCTGCCACCGGACCACCACCACCACAGGAAAACTCATTACCTGGACCCAGCCAAGCCAAAGAAGATACTGACGTGTCTAAGCTACGAGGTGAAGCAAGATCACAAGAGTTAGCAAGACAGGTTGATGGCGCGCTAGCATGGTGAACAATCACGATCTGACGATCAAGAAGGATGGCCAAGATAAAAACATGAACATCACCAAAGTCTACAGGTGTTTCAATGATCGTTATTGCCACAACAAGGTGCTTCTCAAGAGGAGAAGTTACTTGTGAGCTCCGACCACTAAGGCAAGATGGAACATGGGGGTCGACACGCTTAGTTCAGAAATAAACAAGTGAACTGTACTGTGGCAGTACGTAAGATGGGTTGCAGAGCCCAAACCTTCAATGCTTCCTCTGGGTGGTTGCAGAGGTTTAAGAAGAGGAACAAGATCACCAACATTAACATTGGTGTGAAGAAGCGAGTGCTGACCGTGGTGCGCTAGGATTATCCCCTGTTCTACGTGAGATTATGGAGAGGACAGTAACCACGACCAGGCTGTTCAACAAGGACGAATCCGGTCCCTTGGAAAGCTACCTTCCAAGACCTTCGTGTCAAGACTGCGCAAAGGTCAAGTGAAGTTGCAGAAGGAGCGATCACCGTCCTCTTTACAACCAATGCCTGCCCAAACCTGAGTTATTGTGATCCACAGCCCGCCACACGCCTACAAGAACATGGACATGACCGCTAAATATCCACTGGCTGACCGGACTGAAGGCGGATGTTCTCTACTTGTCCCCTCCTGGTTTGATGACTGTTTCTGCCTCGGACGGAAGAAATTTGTGCCAGAATGTTCCATTCAAGATTTTGTTGTTGCTTGACAACGACCAGGACACTCACCCTACTGTTGGATTGTCACCCAACGTAGGCCCTTCCTCCCAACACTACGTCATTAATCCAGCCCATGGTCAAGAAATTAATCTGTAATGTGAAAGCTGCATTCTCTGCAGAAGTTTAAGCCCTGAACGACTACACCAACACCAGATGAGTTATGAACCTGGGTGACGCCAGTAGGAGCGAAGACTACAAGGAACAACAGTTGGCAGAGAAGAAGTACTTGTGAAACACTTTTGGAGGAAATTCTATGTCAAGAAAGCTGTGGACTTCTGGGTGAGGCATGGGATCAGCTGTCTGTAGCAACGGTTCGTCACGATGGAGACATGTAAGTGTAGAACCCAGGTGGGAGGCAGAGTAAATCTGTGACTGGTGAGGTCCAGACTGTTGCAGTAGCAGTATCCCACAGAGAGGCTTGAGAGTGTTACAGCTGCAGGCTCCGAGACCACCAATGACGACATTATGGAGGTGATAAGGATCCTGATGTGACTGCCGACGAGATGTTAGAAGACCATCACGCCAGTGAAGAGACAGCGGGGTCATCCAGAAGAACACAAGTTATAGCATGGAATGTATGCTATCAGAGTGTGAGAGAAACTGAAGCCTCCTTCTGACGACTCCTGACGATAACCGTAAGTAAGTCTTCACTACCCAGCTGTTGCAGATTATGAGCCCTACATCAAGGTGTATCACGATAACATCAACACTAGCCGTCAACAAAGCATTACTGTCCGAGTTCTCGCCTGCAACCCACCACAGCCAGCCTGCCTGATAGTGACAGAGACAGTGATGATTTTGAGGAGGTCAGAAATAAGGTGGGATATGATGGTGACTCACGGGAGGCCAGTAGCCTGCCTCTGCCCAGAACCAGCCTCCATTCGCATTGACCCATCTCTTCTACTAACGTATGTTAAACCTACCTTTGATTTTTTCCTAAAATAACCTAACCTTTGTAAGTGTTAAACCTTGATTTTCTAACATAATCTAACCTTAGGTTAGTGTTAAACCTTGAATTTTAAAACATAACCTAACCTTACTAAGTGTTAAACCTTGATTTTTCTAACCTAACCTACCATGACATATGTGTTAAACCTTGATTTTTCTTTTACCTGGTACAGTATATTATTCTCTTATTGATATTTCTCTTCTATTTTATGTGTGTGTGCATACCATCATAAAGTGAAGATGTTATTTTTACTAAAACATACGTATTGTGTCGGGAAAAAGTGGAGTTTGGGCCTCCGTGGGTTCAATTAAATGCGTAAAGCGGGATACTACTGTACATTTATTAGACAGAGTAACTTATGTTGGGGCATCTTAAGCAGTTCTGCTAAGTTTTTGGTGACCCTGCCCAAGTTATCTAGCGCAGGCCATGGTATTTTGACACCTCAAGCACCCCACTCTAATGGGCTCTTGAAATACAGTATTATGGGGTGTGAGACTGGGTTCAAAATAAGACTTTGAGAAGACAAGGCATACACCGCTGGAATAAGGGTAACCTAATATTGCCTTTTTTTCATCTTAAGTTGTGATTGAAATGTAAATATGAATATGGGAATATGTTTAATTATGCCTGTACTAATTAATTGTGAGGCTTAAAACAAACATTTACCAGTAACTAAAAAGTAGTGATATTAATGATATAGTTAACTTTGTTTGTGAAAGTTAAGTTTTCTGTCTATTGATGAAATGAGGCCCTTGATGGATGCTGGTAAAAATAGAGCAATTAAAGAGGGGAGACAGACAGAAAGGATGTTAGTTTGAATGGTCATAGAATAGAGTGAGTGAAGTGTTTCAGATATCTGAGGGTCTATGTGTAGAAAATGGAAGCTTTTCTGTATTATATACTGTACCATATATGAGGAGCTCCAAACCATAATCTGCTAAGTGCCAAAATAGAAAATGGAGGAAAATGCTCAGGGAGTTATGTGTAACATACAAAAGTCTTTTCAGAGAACTCTCACCCAAGTGTACAGGTTTCCAATTAGCTCTCTGATTTATCCAAGGGCGAAAGGAGAGGTTAGGGCATACAATGCAATACATCACACGTTTCAACGACATATGGTCCAGAGCTCCTCATTACGGTTATTGTGTGTGTGCACGCATGTGCACACAGTGGTGAATTCATCTAGTGTGGCAGCATTATGTTAGTGTTAAGGTGCAAGCACTGTTTGCTTCCTCTAGCTTTCAGCTACAGCCATTGGCTAGCCCTTGTGGAGAACAGGGAATCAATTTGCATAAGCCTACCCCTGCCAGTACACAGCCTCTTCACCATCAACAATCCTGCTGTGCCTCCTCGTGGCAACACGCGGTAACTGGGTGCCCCGTGGGCCCAGGCTAGACCAGCAGGGGATCTCGGAGTAGCAGTGAGCCCCAGAGGGATGGTGCATAAGCCAACGTGTGGACACGTCTTGGTACCTACCAACCACTTGTTGCGGATTAACCTTGGTAGATACAAGGCTACAAGAGTTAACCCAAAACGAAAAATCTGTGGTGGAGCCCCGCACCAGGCAGACACCCTTACAGAGCTCCAGTAAAACCCCATCGGCAGTGTGTGGCGAATGAGGTGACCAATATGGAACAATTACTACACCGGCAGACAAAGGCAATGCAAGATGGACAAGCTATAAAGGCAAAGCCCAACAAACTGAGCTATCGGCAATCCATTGCAACTCTCCTCTCCCAGTCGTTGCAACTGCTTGCACCACTGAATCAGGAAAAAGGAGAGCAAAGATGTGAGATTGCAGCCTGCACTCCTGCCTCACCACACAATCAACTCATGTGCAGCCATCATCCAGCTCATCATACCTCTCATCATCAAAACCCCTATACTCCCAAGAAGTCCTATGGCGACAGACAAGTGGTGATGGGGACAGGCAGAGATGACTGCCATGAGTCTCTAGTTACAACTCTGCACATGGGTGGCATAGATAAGATGGTCATTTATGTACTGGGATCTAGGCAGCAGTGCAACTCCAGTCCTGTCTGTGCGACTGAGCAGCCTTTTCAAGGAGCCACTCGGTTCACCCCACATGGGGAGGGGGCTAGAAAAGGTGCCTAAAACATAGCCTTCCTAAAGAACCAACCTGACTGGGCAACCGCACCCAGTAAGGTCACCCTAATGCAGTCGAACACACAATCCTAATCACAGACCAAAGCAAAAACAAACTATACAACCTCTTATGGTCGCTGCATAGAATGTCAGGACCCTCCTGGATACTGGCACAAATGAGCATCCTGAAAGAAGAACTGCCCTTGTGACGAAAGAGCTGGCTAGGTATAACATCGACATGGAAGCCATTAGTGAGTCCTGGCTCCCAGACAAGGGTCGACTCACAAAAAGGAGGTCTGGCTATACCTTCTTCTAGAAGGGTAAGCCTTATGCAGAGAGAAACAACATTTATGGAGTTGACTTTGCCATTTGACAATCCATCCTACATAGGCACTCTGAAATGCCTGTTGGGATCAATGAGCTCCTCATGACCCTTCGAGTCCCACTGAAC